GACCCTTTCCGGTCAGGTCATGACCTTGACCTGAGGTCAAATTTTCAAGTTGACCTTTCAAGGTCAAGTTATAGTTCATTCGATGCGTCTTGACAAGAGGAACACGATGCCGGTAAAAGTAAGCTCGTACAAGGCTTGAGTCAAAAGTTATTGCAGAAAAACTGTTTCCGAAAAAAATAGGCTATTTTTGCAGTTTTTGCCCCCTGCAGGCAAAACCGTTGACGTTAGGTCAAATCTGAGAAAATTACTCAGAAAGGGCGTTAATAGGGCTATCGAATGCGCTTTTCTGCGGCGCTGTAGCTCTATTGGTTCCCGAGTTATGCGTTGGCTTCTTGGAAATTGTCGACATTCTACCTTGAAATCGGCGAAATTTTGCCTTCAATGACCTCTGGTGACCTGACCTTTGACCTGACCAAAAAATTGACCGAAGTGATTTCCTCATTATTTTTGACGCTCTTTCGAACGCCGCCTTCCGCGTGTCGCTACGTGGCCCAGGAGCCGAGTTAGAAGGGGGGTGTTCAAACACCCCCCCCCCCACCCAGCAGGGCGTGGAAATCCAGGACCCCCAGCCGGGCGCGGGTTAACATGAGATTTGAGTTGAGATAGCCAAAATGGGGTCCCTGGCTCACAATTACCGGTTTCGGCACTCACAACATCGAGAAATGCCTTAAATCGGAAATATTGAATTTCAAAATTGCAGCATTTTGATTCAGAGGGGCTAATGCTTAGGAATACCCCTCTGAATGTGTGACGTCAGCACAGATATCTCACGATTTTTAAATGTTTGACTAAAACGTTTTGTAGCACGCGGTGGTATATGCTATTTGCGCGCAACATCTGCCGCAAACGCCGCACTTCTAAAATAAAGTCGCTAGAAACAGTGGAGATCCCAAAAAAGTAAACAAAAGTAAAAGTCTAATATCTTGAAAACCGGTGAATATTTTTCGGTGAAATTTGGTAGATATTCGTTTTCGCTCTTTCTGAACCGAGCGAAATCACTTTCATGCCAATTCATAAACTTTTTTGAAGGTGGGAGGGTCCCTTTAAATTCGCGCTAAACTGGTTTTCGGCCACACTGTGCAGCGGTGCGTGTCCGTCCGCCGCTGCAACGCGCGTGGCGGAAGGGAGGAGCCCTGCAAAGGTCGACGGGATCAAAGCATGATAAGGCATCTATCTCCCCCTGCAACCCTCGACCGCCAGGCATACCGCGATGCAATCATCGCAGTGGTCACCGTGACAGCGACAGTGACAGACCTGCGTGACGTGAAGATCCACAAATTGGAAAACCGACAGTCTACCCTGAGCTTATAGGGACGAAGGTAAGATGATACAGAAGGTAGGAAATCACCGCTGGCGTACAGGGTGGAAAGTAATTACGCGAACATACTTTTTCGTCTTATAGCAATGGAAAAAGCGGCGGTAACATGAAAATTTCATCTTTTCATATATTCCTATTTATGTGCGATACACTGACAAAGGCGTTCAGGCATAATTGACATGAGCATGTCAAGCACTGTTGGCCAAAGCTTAGTCCACGCCTCCTGGAGCTGTCTGGTGAGGCAATCGATGTTGGTGGCTACTAGCAGCTCTTAGACGCTCTCCTGAAGAGTCGCCTGGATATTTTTGATCAAATTGAGGTCTGGGCTATTCCCAGATTGACCATTATATGCCCAGAAGAAGAACGGGTTCTCAAAGCATCAGTCTTGCGTCTTTTTGGCCGTGAGAGGAAGGACTTTATCAATCATGAAGAAGAGTTTCTTTGCGTCGGGCACAAAAGTGCGCTCAATCATTTTGCCCCTTTTGGTGCATTGATGGATTAGATAAAGAGACTCGTCTGGAAGGATGTTCCACTAGTTGTATACTTTATTTTTGGTGGCCTTGTTGGTCACTACATGCAATTCTGACACCATCCGGGCGCTCATAACACGCTGATGTGTGTTCCTTTGCCGGATGTTTGAAGGTTGGGACGGGCGGGACGTCGGACGCATCAGCAGCCCCCAACGCGTTGTTCTGCAGGTTTGACGGATGAAATAGCTTCGAAGATGTCTCACCCAACCACAAAGCCAGCTGCCTGTCCTCCTCTGTTCAGGTTTGGCGGTCTTTAGAAAACTTAAATTGACAATCCTGCTGTTAATTCATGAATTTTGGCCATCTCGATTGTTTGTACGGCTTGATTTTCGAATTTTCACGGATTTATGTATGAATCGTGATATCTTAGATCGGGTACCCGGCCAAAGTAAACCATTTCGCCTGTTTTCAGGTCGACTGTTGTCGTTTGGTCGCGGAAATGGTGACCACCCATTCGGCGCCTGAATTCGCCGAGGTTTTACTGCCGCCAACGGCTTTGCTTTTTAAGTCCTCTTAAGTTTTATTATGCTTCATCCAAAGGTGTAATTGAGTAATGCTGGTGCCGAGACCGTTCCGAGTCCCTTCCGCACCAATCCAGCCAAAATAATCACAAACGCTTTCCCTGGCAACTTCAAATTGAGCTCTTTGCCCATTTTGGTCTTGAGCAGCGTATGGCGTCAGCACCATTCGAAGCCGAGAGGTGTTGTAGACCTTCCAAGTCATTTTTCAAAGTAAGGTCACTTTTGTTAGATGAGGCGACAACAAACACGACCAGTCATGTTCCATAACAGCCCGCGCTCATACAAAATCTCCACTGACGGGCGAAATTGTAAGAAAATACATGTTCGCGTAATTACTTTCCACCCTGTAGACCAGTGTCTGGATCAGGCAGGGAAATGAACCAGATCGATAGTGTAAACAGGCCTCAGGAGATGTAATAGCATTTACTAGATCCTGTGACTTTTCTTTGCAGCAGTAGGCTGGCTGGTTATCGGGAATATATGGCCAGAAGGGGGGGGGGGGGGTCGGGAAGGTCCCCTGCTGAGCGAGGCTCTGCAGGACGTACACACTACACAGATACGAAAGAAGATACATAATGTTTGAATAATACGCTATATATTCGTCGAGTTTCCCGCTAGCTGTCTGCAGTTGCACTCGCCAGTATCTCACGTTGCCATCTTGATAATTACCTGCACATGCTTGAATTAAATTGTTTGGCCCGTTCCTGTGCGAGAAGTGAGGACTGTTCCCTCTCTACACGTTTGTTGTGTCCGGTTAGCATGTAACCATAAAGGCCATTAAAGCGTCTGAGAATTATCCAACGGCTATCAGTCCTGTGATGGCTATTCACAAGCTAATTTGCTAGCAAACCTAGCGAAAGTTGAAGTGAGATTAATTTCCAGGAAAACATCTAGATGACAATCATTTTATCAGACAAAGAGCGTAATGCAGGGCATTTGTATCAAATTGTCGCTGCGTCCCGAAGTTGAGCAGAGGGCATATGCTACGATGCTACGATTCACAATCATGACAGGGCACTAAAAGCATATATATAGAAGCGCGTATGGGTGTCGGCCTGGTGCACACCGGTGCGAGCGACTTTAGCGAGTGTCATTTCAGCGAACGTCATTTGAGCGAACCATTTTCAGCGAATGGCAATTCAGCGATTATCAAGTTCAGCGATTATCAAATATAGCGATTATCAATTTTAGCGAAAGCTATATTTCAGCGACATCTATTTCGTCGACTACAATTTGAGCGACTGCCAGTTCAGCGAAACGCTTTATCGTCCTGTAACGTTCTTTTTTTTGCGAGCGTATACGCGCGAATGTTTTCGGAATTTCTCATGGTTATCCGGAACTGGATGGCGAATGTTACGTCCAAAGACCTCAGACATTGAGCTCCAAATGTAATGCTACATTTCTAAACAATTCCAACGGTTCAATTTCACCCCCCTGCTCTTTATAGAATTTAACAAATAGAATAGTTATATTAAGTTTTGTCCAGACGGTAGTACCTACTCATAGGCGGCGGAACGAAGGGGGGTACCGGGGCACCGTGCCCCCTTGATTTTGACATTTTAACATTAGCCCTATGGGCGTTGCATGGAGAGAATGAGACCAAAAGTCGGCGGTGCCCCCCTTAATTGAAGGTGTTCCGCCGCTACTGATCGGTAGCCAATCCATTGTATTCAATTTTGTATTTACCTCTGGTGGATTACAAACTGTTAGGTGTTATCATGACGTATGATATAAAACAAAAATTTAAAAACGAAACGTTGCAAGATCAATGATTAAACGTTGCGAAATGAGGCCTGATATTTTTGTGGTTTCAGGTTTCCAACAAGATTACTAGAACAAGATAACAGATTTCAAGCTTTAAAACAATTTTTTATTTTGTCGCGCGCAGCTTGAAGCATGACACAAACCAAACGGGTATTCAAAGGGCAAGAATTTCCGAAAAGTAGAAATGACTGACTTTCGTCGCGTTCGGTTTCGCTGTAACTGTATTCGCTCAATTGGTCTCCCATTGACCACCATATATTCGCTCAATTTGGTTTCGCTGATTCTGGTCCTCGCTTACGTTGATAGTCGCTGTGATTGAATTCGCCGACTTGACAATCGCTAAAAAAGTCAATCGCTTAAATTGATAATCGCTGAAAATGTTTCGCTCAAATGTCGTTCGCTGAAATGACGCTCGCTCAGGTATCGCACAACCCGTGCACACACCCACAGGTATACAAACCGCTGACAAACTGTCGGGTGTAGGGCAGGGCACATGCCAGGATATAGGACAGGGCACAGGGAAAGGCACAGGACAGGACAAGGTCAGGGTATGGGGCAGGGCAGAGAGCAGGACACAGGGCAGACACAAAGCAGGGCAGAGAGCATGGCACAGGGCGGGGAACAGGGCACATGTTCGGCAGGGAACAGGACAGGGCTCAAGGCACGACAGAGAGCAGGGCACAGGGCAGGTACAGGACAGGGTGTAGGGTAGGGACGCAGTGGGTCAAATCCGCAGGTGCTACATCGTTTAAAGGCAGGGGTACCTAGAAATGGGACGCAGCAAGTGCCTTTAAATATGCCCTGGCGTAATGCAACGATCGCAAGCAATTGCTGCCGACTGGGCAGCGCCGGCCGAGCATGGCTCACCTGTGGCCTCGCCAGCGCCCTCTGCGCCGCCCGGTCGCGCCGCTAGCGCCACCACCGGCGCGTCGCGGAAGCGCGTGTTCTGCAGGGTGGCGTGGAGGCGGCGGGTCATCTTCTCGACCTGGGCGGCGCGCTTGGCCTCCGGCAGCAGGTCGATCTTGTTGAGCACGACGACGAGCCTGCTGCAGAGCACGCCGCCGATCACCAGGCACTCGGCCGTCTGCGTCTGCATGCCCTTCGTCACGTCCACCACCAGCATCATCATGTTGATGATCTGCGCGCCTGGAACGGGGACCACGCACCGGGTTATGACAGCTCTTGTCGTTGGCCGTTTTTGGAAAATGCCCGCGCCTCTCAGGACTGACACAAATAAATGCCGTCAGACGGATTGCAGAAGAAAAGAGAAATACGAGCCTCGATAGTCACCCGAGAGGACGAGTGCACCCGAGCATCAGCAGTGAGCGTGAAAGGCACCAAAAACAAAATCAGAAAAAAAAAACATCTAGGGCAACGCAAATCGACTCAACATCGCGGTAAACCGGGACAATGCTTTAAAACATCACATATCAAATCACACGTAGAATGCCGCTATCGCAAAAGCGGCCGTCAATCACTTGTCACTGACGGACAGCCAAACAGCACACAGGCGCCGCTCAAGAACACATTGCAACAAACGTCCTAACACCCTCAAGGCTGCGTCAGGCCCTCTGAGGATCGTTCCCCGCCGCCCAGAAAACACACAAGGACGCGTCAAGGGGGTCTGAGGATCCCTCCCCGGACTCCGCCGCACAGAACACACTGGCACACAATAGGCCGCGTAGGTGCTCTGACGGACCTTCCCGAACACGTAGAACACACTGAGACCTGACGGGCCCCTGCCCACCACGAAAGACGCATCGACATACGAACCCCTGCGTTCGGCTCTCTAAGAGTCCCACCCCACCGGGCGGGAACCGGTGCGGGTGCCGTCGGTTTGGGTGACTGGCAGCCGTCACTCCGGGCCGACAGGCTGCGCCGGGCGGCCGGCGGCGGGTCAGTCTGCCGCCATGTCCCGCCGCCGCTGGCCGCCGCCGCCGCCGCCACTGCTGCTGCTGCTGCTGCTGCTGCTGCTGGTGCCGATATCCGCCGCGCCGTTCACATTCGGCGGCCAGCAGCTGCCGTCACCGTTCTACCGCGAACTGGGCCAGCTGAGGCCGGCGTACGGTCCGCTGCGGCCGCCACCGCAGCCCATGTTCCACCCCAGCGACCACCAGCCGAGCTTCTACCACCACTTTATCGGCCACCACTGGTAGAAACCAACAGGCGCCACCAGCCGAGCTTCTACCACCGCTGGTATAAACCGCAGCGCGAACTGGATTATACCGCACCAACCACCAGCCGAGCTTCTACCGCCACTTTATCGGCCACCACTGGTAGAAACCAACAGCCGCCACCAGCCGAGCTTCTACCGCCACTTTATCGGCCACCACTGGTAGAAACTAGCACCGACCGGGAGTAGAACATTACTACGGCGCCTCCGCTCTTAAAATGGTCTACTGTGAAATGTTTCGGATTTACAGATACAGCTAGGGATGCGTCACCGCTGTTGCTGTCTCCTGTTGGCCTACCCGCCACTACACCGCGCCGGCCGCGAGTGTGTGCGAGTGTACGGCGTCCAGCCAGCGGTGCAGTGTCCACTCACCGACACCAGTGTGTGTACTGTGTGTGCTGCTCGGCTTTTGTCATGTGATGAGGTGTGTGAAAAGTCGTGGAAACTACGTGCTTAGATCTAGCGACACTGGGACACCGAGTTCGAATTGCCAGCATGATTGCCTTATCGCTTTGCATTTTACAATTTTCATACCTGCCCAGACCACTCCTCCCGTGGTATTTCTGAGAACACAGACGCCACCAAACAGACAAACATGAGCAAACAGATAAACAAGCACATAAACAAACAACCATGCTCGAAAACAGCACATCAATCACAATCACATCGCACTTCGAATCAACCACAAAAAGCCATACACACACACCGGATGCTGGCTCCAGAACAGTGCAACCCTGCAACCAACGGAGCCATCTAATCTGCCGATCCAGGCCTCTCCCCGGCCCTACCCGGGGCAGAGCCCAGCCGCCGGCCCGGACCCCTCCCCCGGCCCGGCCCAGGGCGCGGCTCACCTCCGATAATGGTGCGGATCAGCGAGGCGTGACCAGGACAGTCGACCAGCGTGAACTGCACGGTGCTCAGGCGCGGCGCCTCTGCCTGCAGGTGTGCGGGCGCCGGCACGCTAAAGCTGCTGAAGCCTAGGTCGATGGTGATGCCTCGCTCCTGTGATTGTGGGTTCTTGTCGAAGCTGGCCGTGCTGGCCACTGAGCTGAGTGCGCGTGCCAGAGATGTCTTGCCACAGTCTATGTGGCCCAGCACGCCCACATTGAAGTTAAGCACACTCTCATCCATAGCTGTGTTGCTTGGTGAATGGCTGAAAAATAAAGCACAAAAACCAACGTTTTAAACAGACTATACAGGCAGCACGTTCCAACAAAGCATTCCATTTCCTGCCTTTCTGCGTGTTGCCAAGAAATGTTCATGTCAGTAGGCGGAACTATGGTCATGAGTACCCAATTATAGGAACGTTCCCATTTTTGGGAACGGAGTTCCCAAATATGGGAACGGGCGTTCCCATTTATGGGAACGGAAGGTAATTTTTCGGCCGTTCGCCCACTAAAACTCATTAGTGCATCACGTCTCAAAAAAGTGCACGCTAATTTAAGTATCTACTAAATCTCTATAAAATTATCTTCAATCTGACCGTTGCACAAGGAAATTGACCGTCGAATGATATTTTTAATGATTTTTTTAAATGACGGAATGGTGAAAACATGGGTTATACTACATTTAACTTGCAATTTTAAGGAAAATGAAGCGTTTTTTACATTTTGAGGTCAAGTATAATAATTTTCGCCTGGTTATGAAGTTTCATACTAGCGACACCAGATGCTGACATATGCAAGCGAACACGCGGACAGTCCGGGGGTAATATTGGTGACATTTGGTGTCGGGGCGCACGACCGCATGGAACGTCAGTGATTTTACCGAACTACTGTTGTTAACTCAGTTTCAGTGGTTTAAAATTATTCAGCTGTATTATATCATCCAAGATACACATATTTTATTTGGATGCTAGCTGTTTAGAGTTGTTTTATAAGGAGCGTCATGAGCGTGTTTTTTGTCTTCCGTGTTTCTAAGGGTGATCGTTTTGGGGGAATTTCTCTGATATAGGTCGCTCTGTGTGACTTATTTATAATTTTTATGCTGATTTCGATCATTCCTCGTGCCCATCCTACCAGGCCTTTTGCCACTTACACTCATCAAGAAAGGAAAAAACTAGATTTTCATTGGGACTAGGTGTTTTGAGGGTGTAACATATTCAGCGTTCCCATTTTTGGATACTTCCTTGTGCTCGTCAACTATCGGTGATAAACAGACAGGTGCTTGACATGTCTCCACCCTCGGCGCGGACGGTGGATATAGGTATGGTAGACCTTGTTGAACATCGCTGAGCGTTGTGAATTACGTAATCCTGCAGGGGGGGGGCGTGCCCGCTGCGAGATCGACGGGAATAAAAGCGCAGAAGACCGGACGAAACATGCGACGGTCTTGCCGGAAAGGTCATCTGATGATTGTTGCGTTAACAATAATTTGCGGCGTTGGACGTGATGCTTGTTAATGAAAAGAGCCCCTGAAAGGCGTCGGTGAAATCGTTCCCAATTTTGGGTACGCCGTTCCCATAATAAGGAACGCTTGCAGCGCCAGTGTACGAGAGCGCTCCCAAATTTGGGCTCGCGGCCCGGATGATGGACTGCTTTAGAAATAGGGGAACGATTTGAAACTACGATGGGCCTTACAATATCAAACTCTTTCCCAACAATATTGAGACAAATATCAGGTGGTTCACGATCGTTTTATATTTTTTGGACGTCATTTAACGGTTCTTTTTCTTGTTTTAACTAATGCCTACATGGCGTTCCCATATTTGGGTTTATCGTTCCCAAACATGGGAACGAAAATGCGTTCCCGAAAATGGGTACGCTTGACCATAGTTCCGCCTACTGATGTAAATTGAAATTAATGACTAGCTAAGCTACCAACTGTTGTGAAGAACAATCTGAGAGATTTCATTTTTACACCATTAAATTTCTGATGACTTTATTGCAGTCTTATGCAATAAACAAATGTGTCAATAAATTATGTCTTATTGAGGTTTCAGCTTGAGTTGAGATGACATGACATAGATGATAGAATCATTAGACTTTTCAGGAACACTGACACAAATTTTATTTGTTTTTAGACTGATCACTGTGAATACAGAATAATTGGGTACTAGATTGAGATACCTACGGGTCTATATACCCTGGGCCTACCTACCCTACCTTTAGACCAGGAACTGTTTCACACATAATCAAAATATAAATAATTACAGTACCTGAAAATCGCTGACTGCAAAACCATTTCATGTAACGGCTGCGCAAAAATTGTAATGATTCAAGGCGATGCCAAAATTTAACGTTCGATGAAAACAGCTTTTTATGTTACGTCATAGTAAGAGTTTATTTTAGTTTGGAATTTCTTGGATTTTACAAGTACTTTACCAAAAAAGCATGCCAAATACACACAAAAAATTATAAATGCAAAAAATAAACTCCTCAAACCCATTTTTGCAGACTTAAAATCACTATTTTTCGTTAGGTAGGATGCGAGCAACTTTTCAAATATCATGTCATTTCTATGATCATTCTTTCTGATAACCACTCAAGTATGAATTATGATATTCTCAATCACTCAACTGATTTTTGTTTCCAAGCAGAGAAGTGTTTTTACGAATAAATGCCTGGTGAATTAATTGGGAAAAAGGTAAAAAGAAACGTTTTAGCTTGCGTTTTAGCAAAAACAAAATTAAATGACGTCATTAGCCTCATCAAGCGTGCTAGCGAAAACTTTGCTTTGATTGGATTAGGATTGGGATCGGAGGCTCAGAGGGCTGTGTGGAAGATGCATGACAGCTTTCACTGACCTATTTTCAAATATATGGGGTCGTGGCGAGATTATGTGCTGCAAGGCCCTATATACCTGTGCTGTGGCGGGCGAAGCAACAGTGCTGCTTTGCTAAAGGGCTTTGCTCCAGGGTGACAGCCCTAGGTCACCCTGAGGTAGGCTTCTGAAGAATCTTCCTTCTTCCACTCTGTAAGCGACATTTCAGGTGAGCATCATTGACGGTACGTTCCTACCTAGGTACTGTGCTTCTAATCCAGGTCGCTTCAATTCCAAAGGATTCCAGGAGAAATATTCATCTCAATCTGGAAAATATCTTGAATGGCTGTTTTCAACAAGGATAAAGAAATAAACATTATGTAACCTGACCTCAGACCTTAGGTATGTACCTAACCTTCCCTTACAAGTTACATGTAATAGTCTGAGGTTGACTCAGTGTCCCAATGCGGAAGTTTTAAAATGTAAAATGGCTGCCTAATCACCCTTTGAAGTGATTGGTCCATTTGTTCCAGAGAAATGTGGCGTCAGCGGACATTGGCCCAGCGCTGGTTCTGGCGCACCCTGGCCACTGCACTGCTGATCGTCTGCACCACTGTGTTGACTATGACAGCTGTGCAGGAGCTGTTACCACCTCCGCCATCTCGCAGCACCCTGGCGGCCCTGACGCCATTCCAGTACCCAGTGTGGAGTGAGTACTCGCCACCGGACCGGGAGGATGACTGGTACAACGCCACCTGCCTGGGTGGTCAGCTGCGCCCGGCACTCACTGAGCTGGCCGCCCACCTGGAGATGCTGCACACCGCCGAGCACCCCGAGTGCCGCGCGCTGGCCGGCTGGCTCAACACCCTGTTCACGGTGGAGCAGCGTGAGGCCAACGTGACGCTGCCGGCGCCGTTCCTGGCCAAGGTGCTGACGTGGGTGGGCGGCTCGGAGCAGCTGATGGACATCGTCCGACACCAGCGCATCCTGCACGTCACAAACAACCTGGTGCTGCACGAGGTGGCCTTCAACCCGGTGCGCGCATTTCGGCCGCAGCTGCCGTCGGCCGGACCGTCGGCGCGCGAGCAGCTGCACGCGCTGGCCGAGGAGACGCGCGGCAGCTGCGACTTCTGTCAGTGGCGCACCATGACGGCGCTGGTCGGCGAGCCGCCCGGCCGGTTCGAATCACCGCTCTCCACCGTCGTGGGCAACACGCTGAAGCTGGACGGCGGCCACGCGCTGGTGCTGTCGCGCGAGCACAGCCCGCTGCGGCTGACGGTCGAGGGCCGGGCCGACATGGTGGCGCTGGCGGAGCGCTGGAGCCGCGACCAGCAGTCGCGCCGTCCCCAGCTGCGCTTCCCCACGCTGATGTGGGACGTGGGCCAGCACGCGGGCGCCAGTCAGGTGCACCCGCACGTGCACGTGATGCTGTCGCCGGCGCACTACTCGGCCGGCTGGGAGCGACAGCGGCGCGCCGCGCTGCTCTTCTCCGAGATCTGGCCGCAGGACAACTACTTTTCTGCGCTGGTGCGCGCGCACGCGGCGCTGGGCCTGACGGCGCGGCTGGGCGCGGCGGTGGCGTTCGCCGCCGTGGACCCGGTGCTGGACGCCGAGATCTGGGTGGTGTCGGCCGAGCCGGACGCAGACTTCACGCGGCTGTACGCGCTGGCCGTGGCCACCGTGGAGCGCCGGCTGGGCCGGCTCTGCCACAGCAGCAGCCTGGCGCTGCCGGCGCTGGCCGAGCCGGCCGGCCGACTCCCGGCGCTGGCCCGGCTCGTGCCGCGCGGCGACTGCACCTCCGTGCGCACCGACTTCTCGGCAATCGAGATGTTCGCGCTGAGCGCCATCGCGCTCGACCCGTACGAGGTGGTGCGGGAGCTGCGCTACACCATCGAGCGGAACGGTGAGGTCCAGCCGAGGTCGGCCGCCGCCTGAGCGGGAACGCCTTGTCTTTCTCTCTGGGCTCTGGGGAACTCTGGGGACCACCGGGGACTCAGGGGACCACCGGGGACTCAGGGGAACACCGGGGCTTCCCTTGCCCTACCTTTTGGGGAAGTATCAGCTGGCTCACTTGCGTAGGTTTTCCCAAACCAACAGATTATCTGTGTAGCGAAGAGTCCTCTTGATATCTTAAAGCGATAGTTGCATCTGAGTGGCTAAGAAATCGTAATTACATTACATAAGTATTTCTGGGTCGATAGCTTATAAAGCATGCCCGGACAACGAGTATACTCAATTTCATTAAAATTGTGTGGAGACGCAAAGCAACTCCTACTGGAATGTGTTTATCAGGCTCACATCGTGGTGCTTTCAGTGTGGCTCCTAGGTCAGTGAAATCTCTCAATATGTTGGCCGTGCCGATTGTACCGTTTTCGGCAGCTCTTGTGATACATAATGAGTTGTTTAGGATGGCACTGAAGCCTGCAACCACCTGTTAGCGCTCTTTTTTTACCAGATATGAGGGTTTGTGGTTTGTCCTGCGCTTCATACATTAACCTTACGTGCCGTTTTTGTACAAACATTTCGTTTAATTTACAGCTAACAAATAGGAAAGAAGCTGTTGAAACTGTGGGAACTGCCTATAACTTATAAGCAAGCATTATAGTACGTAAACTTGTTTTTGCTAAGGACGCCAGTATAATAGGGGTACGTTGAGCACGTATAACTTCGCAAAGCGACTAGCCAGGTCATATGGGTTTCAGAAATCGCCTCTATTTTGGTAGAAGGGTTTATATTAGAAGTGGCTACTTAGGCTGCGCTGAACTTTGATAGATATTTATAAGTTTTCTACTGTTTGTTGAATGCGTCGGCCTGTCTTTGTCGTTGTTGCGTCGGCAGTTGAGTGTCTTGCATTTACCATGTTCTTGATATGTGACTGTTGTTACGTGCACTTACTGTTATGCCCATAGGCGTCAAATCACACTCGGGCTCCCTTTACCACGCCTGGTATTTTATAATCGTTGTTGCATCGTTGCTCAAGGTATCGTTGTTTACGGCAAAGAATGAGGATTATCCCTCGCCCTGGCAGGGGGGGGGGATCGATGCGACCCCCCCCCCCCCCTAAGGTTTTTCGAAGATAGCGTAAAAACGGCGGCGCGCAGCGCCGCCAAATTTGGCACAGCCTATGGGGCAACCTTTTTACATGTGACCTGAAAATTTCAGGTCCGGGTGACCTCGGGTCAGGTCACTAGGTCAGAAAAACCGGTACAAGGTCATGGTCAAATTTCAATTTTCTTTTTGCACCTGTCCAACTCACAGTTTTGGACTGATTTCCTTCAAACTTTCAGGATGTGCTAAGTTCACCGAGTTGTATAACATATAGTTCGGGTTTTTTTAGGTCATTGACCTGAGGTCAGTTAGAGGTCATTACGTCGTAATGTTAAGCCTATGGGAAAATACTAAATTCGGAAAATACTGGAGATATCCGCTTCGTTCTATCACTTTTGTGCTTTAAAACCACAGTACTTAACAGCAGGTCACTTGGTGCTTCTTCGTTTGGTGTACATATCCATGGGTCAGGTCAAATGAGGTCAACTGAGGTCAAATGACGTTTTTGCCAATAACTTGGCACATAATGACGCTAGAGCTTAAAAAAATGGTATCATTGTGTTCCTGGTGATCAGCCGAATCGAATGATATGCGATATGATGCAATTTGGTTAACTTTAACTTAATTTATTAATTTAAGTTTACTTAAAATTTAAGAAAAACTTTAAGTACACTTAAGCAAGCTAAAAGGTACATCATTCTACGCGCCTTGACGTTCTGAGTTCACTGGTGCTTTTCTTTTTGCTCTATCTTAATTAGATCAAAAGTTATAAGCGAAAAACTTTTGACCTGTTTTTAGCGAAATTTTTACATTTATACCCCCCAAAACCCCCCTAAATATTGACCTAGAGCAACCAAATTTGCACAGGGGCGAGAACTCCAGGGGGCCCACCTACCTACCAAATTTGGTGTTTCTAGGTGCCATAGGAGCCAATCGCGAGGGGGGGTCGCATCGACCCCCCCCCCCCCCTGCCAGGCCGTGTTATGAAAAATGCCCTGCCAGGGCGAGGGTTATGACCAATTGGTCAAATCCCGATGGGTTGTGGACCTCGGCTTTGGAAGCAACCCGCCGGCTTTGAAATTATCTCGCGACTATCACTAAAGTGTTCGTGCTTCCAACATGCCAAGTGTCTTCCATCACAAGTGCGCAAGTGTTTGTTGTTTGTCCAGTTGGAGTGTTTGCGGACGCACGAGCTGAGCGTGCTGGTTCTGGCCAGCTGCACAATGTGGGCCCCGACAGAGGGCACAGCCGCGCGTCCCACCTCGAGCAGCTGACTAGTGTCCCTAACTGAGCACTGAACAGTGCGTGAATCTCCATAGTAAGCCTTGTTGATCTGTATCCGGCGGGATTTACTCAGGCGTGCAATGCACACGCCGTGTGGCAGCCTTGGCCCGGCGGTGGCTCTGAGCTGCGGGTTCCTGGCCTCTGGCCGCATTGCCCGCCCTACAATCGGACCCCCGACTCGGGGCTGGACTGCTGGATTGTTTATTGACTGTTATAGACAGTGTACTTTACACAGGGCTGTATTTGTTTGTTGGAAATGTCGTCATAATGGCTTCTGAAATGACTTGCTTGTGTCGTTCGGATAACAAATTTCGAGATGACCGATATTTAAGTACCGGCGCTGCACAATGCTGCTGTGCCGAAGTGTTGCTTCTCTCTTGCTTACTACTGAACCATGATGACTGAGCTAAGTACATTTGTTGTGTTATTTATTTATTTGTTTATTTATTTTTTCTTTTGGTCATCTTCATTACATGTAAACTTTTGTTAATTGTTGGTGATGGCGCTGTTTTGTTTCACAATGTTTTTACCGGTGAGTTTTAAATACACGCTTGATTCGGCGGCTGGCTGTGCCTGGAACCAAGGCTATATAAACCAGGTAGAACGCTCCGGGGAAAAAGTTGGAAACAATAAATTAGTTGCGGCATTCCCTGATGACGCGAATGTGGGTCAGCGGCCGGCGGCCGGCCGCCGCTAACACTGTATGAGGAGGGATGCGCGGAACTTTTGCTTGTTGGTGATTGCGCTAGGCAGTTAAATGGTAATGTTAGGATATGTTTCGAAAGTAAATTGAACGACGCTTCGAACGCCGTCAATGAATTTGCGATACGGCGACTATTTGTTTAGTTAGAGCCGGCGAACTTTTACCTTCCGACCGCGCGCGGAGGCGATATGGTGCCACACTGGCGGTTTTTACGATAGCTCAAAATTCTTTTGAGATAAAGAGATGAAATTTGAAATGTCCTATCTTTTGATCAAGCTGGATCTTATGGTACAAGTCGCATATTTAAGGTACGTCAGGTTGTTGACCTATATGTTGTCGCTCGTGAGCCTCTGCACAGTCCAAAAACAACGCAATTTCTGAACACTCAAAGCCAAGAAATCCTTCACAGAAAGATGACACTTGGCAGAAAGAAGAGTTGTCGGTTTCTTACCGTTCGTACGTGTCGTGTTTTCACAAGAGTTTAGTAAGGTCAGCTCCGTCACGTGACCTCCCCTCATAACTCAATAGGTTTACTATCATAGAAGCGTTTATCAATCGCCGGAAATCTTAGCCAATCCCACTGGACACTGGATCCATACCCACATGGGGCCCTCCTGACTGGCCACTCCCTCTGAAATCCACAATAACATTGGGCTGCGGCCACGGTTATGTATTAATGCTTTTCACTAACAGAAATACAACTTCAACCAGCACAGTGCACGCCGCCACAACAGTCCGACCCACGTCCCTGATATCGATTAGCTCCCGGCCGGATGCACATTGCACATACGCGGAGCCAATCAGTCCGAATGTGACCTGCAGCTTACAATTGCTGTGTCGCATGGCGCATGGCACAGGACGATTCCTAGCAGCTGTCGGCTGGAGTGGAGAAACAGCACGTTGCGACACACCGCGCCGGCGACAGAGCTCAGCAGGGCTGGTTGGAGGCTGGAGCCGGAGGGGACATACCAACTTCAAACTTGACGTTTATGTATAGCACCATGGAAACAATGGGCACACAGGAAAGAAACAAAAGATGAGGGTTTTAACAGCCCGAAGTGCAGACAAGCACATACTTTTGGTAATAGCTATCAGCTGTCCTACTCCTCTTCTCCCTTCATCAACTACTGGACACATTTGAAGCATCATACATAGCACCAATGTCCATAACCAAAGCTTGCAAGTAGTTTTAACTTTTATGAAGCCAAGGGAAATGTGCCTACATCATGCATGTAAACTCAAAATTACACATGCATGACAAAGGAAGCTTATGTAAAGAGAATGGTTGACAAAAGCATCTCATGGTTAAAATTATTCAAAATTGCACACAGGCCACAGGGCAAACATAAAAAGCAGCAAGTGTACTGTTCTGTTATGCTAAGAAATAGTCCAAAACAAAATACAATCTTTTCATGTTTGAACTGGTTGTTCTTCTATGTCCCTTCATCCATATCTCGATTACAGATGGGCTGTTACTGTAGGCTGATGAAGTGACACTTGATTGCCTTTGTGCGAGTTTCAGTTGCAGCCTCCTTGGTACTGCACTGGAAAGCAGATTGAATTGAATGCCTCTGAAAGATAGGAATACAGGCAAAGTTAGCTGTAGTAGTGTCAATGGTAATAGGCATCACATTTTTGTCCTAAGTACAAAAAGGTAAAATAAATTGGTTTGTTTCAAGACACGCACACTGCACAAAGCCGCAGACATTACACAGGCATATGAAATTGGTACACATAAAAATTGATGATTAAAAGGTCAAAACTTGCAATAATAATTGAAGTAAAAGTTACAATCACAATCATTTGATTTAAAATGACAACTGACATAAGTCACAAGACGCAACGCTCCCATTCTTTTATGCTTTCATTATCCTCCACATATCAACCAGCTTGATACCAGGCTGTGCAATAGTGTGTACATAACCCCAGTCCCCTCCCCATGTTGCCATTTTATTAGAGCAAGTGGGGTTACAACAACAATGCTAATGTCAAACCCACATCTGCAACACGTACTGCAGTTTCAATCACCTTACAAGCACACCTTCTGGCAGTTTGATAGGCAGAATGGTCATTACTACTTTCCCCTCATATTCAACACATATTCCCTTTATACAGATACAGTTTAGACCTGGTTATGGCAAGCATTTTCGAGAAAAGATATGATTAAAGTCCAAGACAAAGGTCGAGAGAAACAACACCAACATAAAACACCGGCTATGTAGCACTAATACTGTCAAATTCATAAAAATATATACATGAGTCGATCAAAAATTCACTGTAGATTTCGAAAATGGTGTCAAATGCCACTCAAATACCCCCATTCGCATGTACGAAGCAATAAAACACTGACCTTCAATTCCGCGTGCCATTCTCCATAGGCCACTGTGTATTAAATAACGCGTTCACTGATAGCAAAAAATGAGACCCACATATGACGCGTTTGCTACCAGCCAATCAGCGCTCGAGTTACCGAGCGCTGATTGGTGGAGAGGGCCGTCATCAGCAGCTAGTTACACGTTGTTTTCCTTGAACATATGTGTGAGCGCTGATGCTGCTCACGGGCTGTTGCCATTTTTCGTAATGCTGAAGACACGGGAGCGAACCCCCCTGCCTGGAACAGCGGTACGGCTGCCGGCCTGGCTCAGGGTACGTGTCCAGCTTTCCCCTCCGTCTGTTCAATGGTGGGTAACCGGCGTGGGACGGCCATCGACGGACTGGGTCACGAGCAGTCAGTCGGCCGTGGCGAGCCATCAGCCGCGGCACATGTGCTGATAATATGTCGGGGGAGTGTGGGTGGGTCCTCAACCCCGCCTCAAGTAAAACTTTTCCGCTAATGGTGCCCTCGCCCACTCCCCCACATCACCAAAACTGATACCTACTCAAATGTATGTACGTGCGTGAAGATAGCGACGGATTCAGCGTCGGATTCGGAATTCGCTGATAACACCTAATCAGGTCATGTAGGACACGCTGATTCCAAAAATGGACATAAAATACATTTTTAAGGTGTTTTTTTATTTTTTACCCATTTTCATTTTCTTTTTTTACCCATTTGACCCATTTTCAGGGTCAAATTTGAGGTCAAAGGACGGGGTACCCAATAACGTCCCGATTTATGGGCGCAAGAGGACCAAAAGTGGTCATGCATGATAGCTCGTCACCGTGGGCAGCCTCCGTGACCATGACCTTGACCTTGACCTTTGACCTTTAAGGTCAAATTTGAGGTCAAAGGACGGGGTACCGGATAACATCCCGAAATCTGGGCTCAAGAGGACCAACAGTAATCATACCTGATAGCTCGTCACCGTAGGCAGCCTCCGTGACCGTGACCTTGACCTTGACCTTTGACATTCAAGGTCAAATTTGAGTTCAAACGACGGGGTACCGGATAACGTCTCGAATTTATGGAAGGAGCGGGATAAAAACGGTCCCAAACGACGGCCAGCCTCGTTGGCTAGCCTCCGCTACTCTGACCTTGGCTCTAGCCCTTGACCTTCAGGGTCAAACACCAGGTCAAAGATAGGCACCATTTCCCAAAGAAAGAGTAGGGCGAAATGTAAAGAAGTTGATCTGCCACGTCTCAAGCAACCATGCCAGTGGATACTTGGCCGCCAGGGCTACATTTTATTTTGCTTGACCTTGACCCTAATGTTTGACCTTAGAGGTCAAACTCTAGGTCAAAGGACGGGGTACCGGATAACATCTCGAATTGTGGGCGCAAGAGGACCAAAATGGGTCAAACATGATAGCTCGTAACCGTGGGCAGCCTCCGTGACCATGACCTTGACCTTGACCTTTGACCTTCAAGGTCAAATTTGAGGTCAAAGGACGGGGTACCGGATAACATCCCGAATTATGGGCTCAAGAGGACCAAAAGTGGTCATACCTGATAGCTCGTCACCGTGGGCTGCCTCCGTGACCATGACCTTGACCTTGACCTTTGACCTTCAAGGTCAAATTTGAGGTCAATGGACGAGGTATCGGATAACATCCCGAATTATGGGCTCCAGAGGACCAAAAGTGGCCATATATAATAGCTCGTCACCGTGAGCAGCTCCGTGATCATCACCTTGCCCTTGACCTTTGACCTTTGATCCGTGGTGCGTGCATGTGGCCACTGGCCGACGACTTCCCAGGGCCGCCCGCCCTCATGACGCAGTTAGTGTTTCCTCTCGTTCGTTCTTTGTCCCTTCTTCGGATTCTCTGTTTGGCTGTTGTTGGCCGTACCTACGCAGCTAATTTTACTCGTGCTGTGTGGTTGGACAAGGAGCCGCACTCGGACAATATATTGGGTGCGACGACGAGTTGGGAAATTGGGTAAGAAAGGAACTGGGACGTTGTATGGGGATGGTGGGTGGTGACGCTTTCTTCTCACACAAATGCCGAGCCGACCACCGGCGGTCGCCGCAAACTGAGGTCTCGCGCCCCTCCGTCCTCATGTGTCCCCTCCTGATCGTTTCGTGCCTACTCTTCCCCTCCCCGCGTCCCCTCCCACCCGGCTTCACTGCCGCCGCCGCGCGTCCTTACTATTCCCTTCCAAGGCCCACTAATCTTTATTAGGTGTGCCATAATGACGATTAGAAACACTGTAACGTCTTGGTTTTCGCAGATCTTTGTTCATCATCATTACACATGAGAAATATACTGCACGAGACGAGGAACGTTCGACACGGAGAAGCTCCAAATGTCATCTCTGCCCTCCCCGAAACGTACCTCCCGCACTTACGAACACGCTATAGCGACTGAGTGTAGGAGTGTAGGAGGTGGTGACAAAGGAAATCCAGCGCTACCTTTTTTCCAAATAAAATATTTGCGTATGCACCTGGGGAGAGTTCAGAGGATAACTGCCTGTCCGATAT